TTTCTTCTTCTTCCTTCTCTTCCTACCAGAAACCAGATTTTTGCGTCTGCCACTGATGCTACGTATTGTAACAGGGGTAGGGCGTTATCATTCCATAAAAGAAAATTTGAGAATAGATAATCAACCTCATGTTTTCTCCCGGCAATCTGGAAAAGAGACCATATTTAGTTTAAAGAAGCCTTAGAGAAAGACTTGTTGATTTGAGCATAAAGTTAGCCTCAGTTTACTCCGGATAAAGGGAGAAAGTCCAAGTCCACGATAAAAAAAATCGAACTTTAAGCAACATTTGAAAAAGGAGGTCCTTTGGGCACTTGACGCAAAAACCCCTCGCATTGGATTTCCATTAGCGACAATTTTTTAGACGTTTGCATAGGATGAATGTAAAAGCGACTTCTTTCCACTTCCAGGGTCTTTATATTGTTTTATTTTAAGAAAGGAAAAGATAATGATTGATATGCTTTCAAAAAAGCAAAGTTATACGACTTTATTCCTTTCTTGATGATGGAACAATGAAAGGGCACGAAACATTTGCACTGTTCAAACAAAAAAATCATAAAGCTCTCATTTCTACATTTGAACACGACAGAGATGACGACTAGAGAATACGCTGGAGGTGGCAGAGAAAATACAAAAATGAAGGAATAACGAGACAAGATGACGCGAAAAGTGAAGCGAAAAATCACAAACGAATCGGGTACCGTATACAAAATGGGGAGTGCGAAGGAATGGGAAAGTGGAAATGTCCCCGAGCACTTCTTGGGTGGGGAGAACAATCCACAATATCCATTGGAATGTGTGTTCGCTTCCCTTTTAACAGGAGATCAAAGGAAGGATGTAACAAAAGGTACAACAAGCACGACAGAGTTACGTAGCCTAGAATGTTTTTGAACAAAAAAGGAGAAGAGGAACTGGAGCCGTTCATCATCAGTGAGTGATATCTCCAATAATAATGAAGAATCATATGAAAGAATCTTAAGGCCACTAGAATTGGATAGCATAGGTGGGGGAACATCATAATCGAAGAAGAAGAACTAATATCGGCAACGATAACGAGGCCAAAAGCTGCCTGAGCGAAGACCAGGGGGCAGTTTTGCGCACTTCCTCGATGTGGGCCAAGGACCGAGCTGTTAGGGCCGAGTTATGCCCGCCACCGTATTGGGTTGTCTCGTCCACTGTGCCAAACATTACCAAGTCCCATTTGACGAGTTCCGCGTCTGGAAGGACGGAATCTATATAATGGAGTTTTTCCGAATAGAGTTAGGGTAAACTTACCATCCCATCCATCGTTATCGACTTCGAGGGTCCACAGACCGGCAGCAAGTTCGCCCCAACTATGGGTGGTCATGAAGGCCCATTCGATGAATCCGGCTCGACTTGTGTCTCGTGCTCGTTTCGTCAAAAGCGTAGATCGTGTACCTAAAAATGGATAAAATTCTCCCACTGACGCAAGTAACCTTCGGGTCCCAAAAAGATTTTACTTCTCGGTAACCACTTACCCGACGGACTAGTGAGGTAGATCTGTATATCGCCTCTCTTTGGAGC